TTCCCCTAACCCTAATATAGGGGCAACTTCCATGGAAGAGAGGGCGAATTTGAAAAAGCCGTCGTTCAGTACCTTCTTCTGCACTGCTCATCATCTCTGCCCATGCCAAACACGTTGCAACCATCAAAAATATTCCTGGACACCTTGTTTCTCTAACCCTAACCCTTCCCTTGTGCATTCTCCTAACCCTAATATAGGGGTCAACTTCCATGGAAAAGAGGGCGATTTTGAAAAAGCCCTCCTTGAGTAGCTTTTTCTGCACAGCTCATCATCTCTGCCCATTCTAAACACATTCCAACCATCAGAACCATGCCAGGACACCTCGTTTCTCTAACCCTAACCCTACCCTGGGGCACTCCCCTAACCCTAATATATGGCTCAAGTTCCATGGAAAAGAGAGCGATTTTCAAAAATCCCTCCTTGAGTAGATTTTCTGCACAGCTCATCATCTCTGCCCATGCTAAACACATTCTAACTAGCAGAACTAAGCCAGGGCACCTCATTGCTCTAACCCATACCCTACCCTGGGGCACTCCCCTAACCCAAATATAGGGGTCAACTTCTGTGGAAGAGAGGGCGAATTTGAAAAAGCCCTCGGTGAGTACCTTTTTCATCACAGCTCATCATCTCTGCCCATGCTAAACACGTTCCAACCATCAGAACCATGCCAGGACACCTTGTTCTTCTAACCCTAGCCCTACCCTGAGGCACTCCGAAAACCCTAATATATGGGTCAAATTCCATGGAAAATAGGGCTGTTTTGAAAAAGCCCTCCTTGAGTAGCTTTTCCTGCACAGCTCATCATCTCTGCCCATGCTAAACACATTCCAACCATCCGAAACATGCCAGGACACCTCGTTTCTCTAACCCTAACCCTACCCCGGTGCATTCCCCTTATCTTTATATAGGGGTGATATTCCAGGGAAAAGAGGGCGATTTTAAAAAAGCGCTCCTTGAGTAGCTTTTTCTTCACAGCTCATCATCTCTGCCCATGCTAAACACGTTCCAACCATCAGAACCATGCCAGGACACTTCGTTTCTCTAACCCTAACCCTACCCTGGGGCACTCCCCTAACCCTAAGATAGGGGTCATGTTCCAGGGAAAAGAGGGCGATTTTGAAAAAGCCCTCCTTGAGTAGCTTTTTCTGCACAGCTCATCATCTCTGCGCATGCTAAACACGTTCCAACCATCAAAAATGTGCCAGGACACCTTGTTTCTCTAACCCTAACCCTTCCCTGGTGCATTCTCCTAACCCTAATATAGGGGTCAAGTTCCATGGAAGATAGGCCGACTTTGAAAAAGACCTCCTTGAGTAGCTTTTTCTGCACAGCTCATCTTCTCTGCCCCTGCTAAACACGTTACAACCATCAGAACCATGCCAGGACACCTCGTTTCTCTAACCCTAACCCTACCCTGGGGCACTCCCCTAACTCTAATATAGGGGTCAAGTTCAATGGAAGAGAGGGCGATTTTGAAAAAGCCCTCCTTGAGTAGCTTTTTCTGTACAGCTCATCATCTCTGCCCATGCTAAACACGTTCCAACCATCAGAACCGTGCCAGGACACCTCGTTTCTCTAACCCTAAGCCTACCCTGGTGCATTCCTCTAACACTACTATAGGGGTCAAGTTCTATGGAAGAGAGGGCGAATTTGAAAAAGTCCTCGGTGAGTACCTTTTTCGGCACAGCTCATTATTTCTGCCCATGGTAAACACGTTCCAACCATCAGAACCATGCCAGGACACCTCGTTCTTCTAACCCTAACCCTACCCTGAGGCACTCCGAAAACCCTAATATAGGTGTCAAGTTTCATGGAAAAGAGGGCTGTTTTGAAAAAGCCCTCCTTGAGTAGCTTTTTCTGCACAGCTCATCATCTCTGCCCATGCTAAACACATTCCAACCATCAGAACCAGGCCAGGACACCTCGTTTTTCTAACCCTAACCCTACCCTGGGGCTCACCTCTAACCCTACTATAGGAGTCAAGTTCCATGGAAGAGAGGGCTACTTTGAAAAAGCCCTCCTTGAGTAGCTTTTTCTGCACAGCTCCTCATCTCTGCCCAGGCTTAACACGTTCCAACCATCAAAACCACGCCAGGAAACCCCATTTCTCTAACCCTAACCCTACCCTGGGGTACTCCCGAAACCTACTATAGGGGTCAAGTTCCATGGAAAAGTGGCCGATTTTGAAAAAGTCTTCCTTGAGTACCTTTTTCTGCACAGCTCATCAGCATTTTTCGTTCCAATCGCATTGCAACCTTCAAAACCATGCCAGGACACCCCGTTTCTCTAACCCTAACTCTACCCTGGTGCACACCCGTAACCCCAATATGGGGGTAAACTTACATTTGAAAGTTGTCTTTTTTGAAAAAGCCTTCCTTGAGTTGCTTTTTCTGCCTAGCTCATCACGTTTTTCCATTCCAAACACATTCCAACCGTCAAAACCATACCTGGACACCTGTTTTTCTAACCCTAACCCTACCCTGGTGCACCCCCATAACCCTCATATAAGGGTAAACTTGCATTTAAAAGAGTTCTATTTTGAAAAATCTTTCCTTGAGTTGGTTTTTCTGCACAGCTCATCACCATTTTTCATTCCAAATGGATTCCAACCATCAAAACCATGCCAGGACACCTCATTTTTTAACCCCAGCCCTGCTTTGTTGCACATCTCTAGCCCTAATATTGGGGTAAGGGACCCAGGAGAAGTGTGCCCAGGAAGCGGCGGTGGAGAGAGACCACAGCTCCCAAGACATACTGGACTGTGCCGTGGTCCACAATTAGGCTGATAAATCTGTACGTTCTGTTGGCGCTGTCCCTCCAGCACCACAGAGAGATAGAGACACGAAAGGTGGCTGACATGGCCGGCTCAGTCAAATTTGTCCTAGAGAAGATTTTTTGGTTGAGCCGCGAGGAAAAAGGGAGGATGCCGCCCAGTCGGTGGAGGAAATTATGGCCGTGGTTGAGTGGGGCTCATGCCCCGATAACGTAATGTCCGTGAATCACTCACACATGTTGCTCAGACACATGGCATGAACCTACCAGGAGAAGTCCATACAAAGTTCTTTTTGTACATTTGATGTGTAAAGCCTGGGAATCTTGTAAATGTGTGTACATTTGGTATTTTGAAAGGATGTAAATAACGGATGGGGTACTTTCTATTTTTGTAATGTTGCAATTTTTGGGCCTTTTTGTACCTTTGTAGTATGTTTTTATTTAAATAAAAAATTTCAACCTAAAAAAAAAAAATTT